GGCCAATGTAAAACAATCTTTTCTCCTTTGAAATTATATACCATTTCCTATAAAATTGACCTGCTGATATTAATAAATAACCTCACAGCATCATTTTTACCATCTTTTTTGTCATAATTTTACCAATTTTTTTTTTAATTAAATTGTAAGCTCATTGAGGATAGGATCTATATCTACAGTAAATTATCTCCTGAGAGTGCTTAGCAAGATACTCTATATATAGTGAAAGGACAGGCTATAGTTCTTACTTAATTTAACATTCCAAACCATTTCAGTTAACAGACAGACATCTAGGAAAACAAGACTTCAGATACACCTCAGGCATCTCATGTATAATATAAATTATTAAAACTGATTAATGTTCTGCTGATAATGTTTCTTCAAAAAAAAAAAAAAGGAAAGAAAATCTTGGCTGAAGGACAAATTCAACTAAATGAGATAAAAAAGGGAAGGGCACGGTCACACAATATATCACCAATCTTCTGAATCCCTCTATATAATCAAGAAACATTTGTGTCCTTCTTAGGTCACTAATCCTGCTGTGATTGATGCTAATAACAATAATTTACAATGATAACTTATAATTTTCAGAAAAAATTAATAATTTAACTACTTTGATTATTAAAACAAATATAAAAAAAGGAAAGATGTTATTGTAAAGCATATTGTTTCAATGAGAAAATTGAGGTTTTAAGTAATCATAGAACACGAAATTATACAAGTCTAGCATTGGCAAAGACCTTAAATATGATCTAATGCAATAGTTTCATTTACAGTTGAGAATACTGCAGCCCAAATAGGTTAATTGACTTGTGTGAGGTCCTGTAGAGAATGAATGGATATAGCAGAATTAAAGCTCCTCAAGTCCAGTGATATTTAGACTGTGCTATTCTGCCTTTTATTTAATTAAGCGCAACACAAATATGCATTGTTTAAGAAAGCTATTTAAAATAGTATCTACCTGAAATGGAGTAGATGTTGAAAGGATTTTATAAGTCATGAGTTTTTAATGTGTTTTATTTCTTCCTCATTAAAAGGGAGAAATCTTTGGAAAAAAGAGTGAGATCTCTCTTAGGTAAGAGTGTTCGGTGTAAGCCTTGAAACATAAATGTATTTGATTTTAATTGGATAAGCTGCATGTATGTGAAGTTACTTATGGACTTAAATTTTAAGCAATACATTGACAAAACCAGGAAATACAAAAACTAGAGAGAATAGTATATTAAAGATCTTTTTGAATGTAGAATTGATGCAGCCACATTTGGTTTCCAAAATGCTTAGTAACATTCATTTTTAAACTAGTAAGTATGCTTTGACTATGACTTACTTTTATCATTAGTTTAAAGCTAGAATACTGTTGATAGTATTTAATATTACCACTCCCTACGTCCTAGATTCTGTAAAAAACAAATAAAATGTGCAGTCTGTTTTCAGGACAGTTTCATTTGCATTTCATTACACTTTTAACCCTCAATTTTTATTCTTGTAGAGGCTATTATAGGAGCTGGTAATCATACCTTATATGTTATAGACAACTCTTAGGTTATCAAAACGATCATCTGGTCTATTCCTCTGAGTCTAAGCATGACAACCTTAGATCATTCAAAACTATGATTCCCTCTCTAATTTTTCAAGACATCAGGTGTGAAGATTAAATCGATCAATTTTTTAAAGTATATTTCTTTGGAACCTGGTATGTAAAATAAACTGAGCTATATCTTGTGATGAATAAAATAATCAGCATTTGGTCTTAAGCTCACAATCAAAGGAAAAACTAAAAGCACAATACAAGATGCAAAATAACATTCTAATAAGGCATTACAGAAGTCATAAAGTGATATTTGATTTATTCTCAAATGATTGGTTCAGATAATACATGCTGTTAGAGTTCAGAGAAGAGAGAAATATATCTTAACATTCAATAGAAATTCTCTCTTGATATAACTAAAGGTAGTTTTATTTGGTTTAGTCTTTTGTGGATCACTAGAACTGGCAAGTTTCAAGTATCTTTTTTTCTTTTTTGCCTTCATTTTTTTAATGTTAGATATTACCTACAACTTCTAAACCTTTCTTTAAACTTTTCCTCAAGGTTTCAGTCATCATCTGCTAAATAATCTATACTTCTTCACAATAACACTATATGTAAATTTCTTTTGCTATATCAGACTTTAAAATAATGAAAAGATTACTTCTCATGTTTAAACAGCATAGTAGAATCCACGGTGTCGCCTTCTTTATGACTTCCAAATCAATTTTAGCCTTATTTGAACCAAGGTAGGCCTTCCTCATCTCAAATATATGCAATACTTTTTTGATATAATGTGTGCTCTGACCCCATAACTATAGCTTTTTTTTTTAAAGCAACTTGATTTAATTCAGCTCAAATATATTAATATTGCCATTGCAAATAACTCACTTGGCAGGGACAAAAAAGTTCACATGTCAATGTGATCAGAAAAGAGGGTGAGGCACCAGAGTAAGTGAAAGAGGCATTTTGGAATTAATCAAGATAAGAGTACCAGCACCTCATATTTTACCTAAACAACAGCACAGGGTATAAGCAATTTGTATTTTTTCTTGGCCTTGTTACCATTTCACCCTGACTTATAATTGATAGATCATTCATTTAATTAATTGATTCTATTTCTAGACTATAAAATGTTAGGGAGAATTCTCTTTTTGGTTCACTTTCTCTTGCAGCTTAGATTTCTGAATATACATATTGCTGAAGCAGGAATAGAAATAAACATATTTGGACAGTGCCAGAGAAAAGACCATTTTACCTGTAAATGCTTTTCAATATAAAGCACATAAATCTGAAAGAAATGATTTGAGAGAGTTTTCTTTCCCAAGGATGAAATGCCTGTGTGTAAATTATGCCATTGTGTTACCCTGACTGGTGGGTATAAATTGTCTATTCTCTTTCTACTACTTCAAGTCACAGTTAAAATATAAAATTATCACTATGTAGTAACACAATGAAATCTTGCCTAGTTGTGTTTCCGAGATAAATATATTGTTGGGTTTTTGTCATGGTATGAATACATGAGGGTGAAACAGTGAAAAATACCCCTTTCTACCAAAACTTTTCTTCATGTTTATTACACCCCTCAAAGCGGGAGAAGATTAGGTATGGAACAGAGAACAAGGGTAATAAAGTCACATAGAGCTGTGAATCATGTGTTTCATACTCACAGGTACTGACGTACTTTCTCCCCAGAGAAAATAGTATCTATCTTGCAGGCACTGTGAATAATATAAACCAAGACTTTATAGAAGAGATAACATAAATAAGCTAATATGACAGCAATCTTTAGACAAGATTTTATTCCAACTAAATCATCTCGAATTTTTAAATAACACAGAATAGCAAGAGTGTAGACAAATTGAAAGAAATTTAAATCTAGACTACCTTAGATAATATTTAATATTAAACACTCTGAAGCCCATGCTCTACCACAGGAATACATACCAACAATCATGTGTTTTGCCCTAGCTTTTCAAGTCATTTCATTGAAAACTTTCGTAGAAATCAAAGGAGTTATAAAAAAATCCTCTCCCAGGGACAGGAACTCAAGGGTAGTTGCTGCTATGAAACAACAGTAAGAGCAGTTGAAGGGAAATCAGAACCTGACTCTTCCACCCCCACCTATATTGATATTGAACTCTATTCATATCTTCTGTGTATTTCCAACCTGTTATGGAGCCACCTATAACAACAGGTCATCCATTCATTCAACCAGCAGTTAAATAACATTCATTGAATACCAATCACTGTGCCAAATAATCAGCTTTCAAAGAAAACTGTAATCCATTGCAAATGTCAACTTTCTCTTTGTACTTGCATAAAAACAGACTGCAGCTCAGATTCATGTGATCTATAAGTTATGTCTGGGTTACTACCACATGAAGAAACAACAGTTAAATCGAGAAGTCATATATTTATCACAAAAGTATATAATTACTTAGATAAATACTACATTGAAAATGTAAAAAAACTTCCACTTTACTATTAAGTGTTCTCATGAAGATTCCTTGGAGTCAGGGGAATACATGGAAATACCCATGACTTTTGAGAGATTAACAATTGAAGTGGTAGTTGGACCAGAGTCTCTTGACATATTATATTTGTCATCAGTCACATCAACATCACTAAGCAAAATATTTGAGCATTGATGGTATGGATTATATGTGTCTTACACATGTACAAATGCTATAGAAATATGTTTGAGATGTATTAATATAAGCATGTGTGTGTGTGTGTGTGTGTGTGTGTGTGTTTGTGTGTGTGTTCAGACATTGATTTACACATCTAATTATTAAGAAGAGCATGGGGGTATAAGAACAAAATATCTGCTTTTTGAAGTATAAACCTTTTATAATGAATTCCCATATTGCAAAATTTCACATGTAAAGGATATATTTCAAAAGCTTATTGTCAGAAACATAAGCCTTACTGCCATTTCTCTTGGATCAGTGAGCTCATGAGTCTCTTCCTTGGGTTTCATTTTAAGAAGGTTTCAATTCTTAGAGAGAATAGATGACAGTTGGAGTATGGAAGTTTTTTGTCACTATGACTGTATTCTCCCAAGAAGAACTAAAGAAAGTAGAGCAAGAATTTTTATTGCTTAGAAATAAACTTCAATGAGCCTTTCAATTTCTTATTCTTATAGAAGATTGCCTTCAGTTACCTAAATAATTCTCAATGATTCCAAGAAAATATTTAATAAGGTAGGAAAAATAAAGGCAATTTGTAATCACATTATTTCCTATTCATTTTATTGGGGGGTTTATTTCCTTTGTTACTTTTATTTGACTCCCTCAATAGTATGACTCTATTATAGTGAATGACATAGTTGGACACATTCAAAATTAATTATTTTCGAACTAGATTATATTCTAAGAAAATATTTGAAATTGGAGACATAGGCTTAGTTAGAAATCATCATAATACATACTCTCACACACACACTGATACTCACATATACAAACATACTAACCTAGTTGTCCATATGCTTCTCTGAGTGATTGTTCCCGACCAAATACACTGAATGACTGTGCTGATTAAATTCTGTGATCTTTTCTCCACATTTAATTCATCTTGTCAGGTATGGAAGACCAATGGCTTCATTTCAAAGGAAAAAAAAATTCAAACAAAAACAGGGCTTTGTTCCTTGACCTATAGTTCTGAGAAAAATAGCACAACACCCAAACACACCCAAGTGGCAAACATCTATAGCTAATTTCTATGTTATGACAGAGAGTGAGGGATGTTTAAGGTATAAAATGAGGCTGAGCTTTGGAGTGAAGGCATTTTTTCTCTTTTGCCTTGGACAACTGCTGGAAAAACGGCCTTCGATGTCTTTGTCAGATTCCCACACAGACTGTGAAGTTTCTCTGAGTCCAGGCGGGTTATCTCACAAATCTGTGCAAAGCTCCAGTGAATAATTTATATCAGACATGAGGCGACAAGTTAAACACGCCCATTTTGTCTAAAATGCTATGAAGGTATCAAGATGGAGCCAAGCTACAGGGCGAGGGGAGCCTGGCTGATGGGAATCCGAGTATGTCTAGAAGAGAGGATGCTGCTGTAAAGAAAATGAAATGTAATGAGATACTCTTTCATGCATAATTCATAGGTGAAAACATGACTGCATAAAAAGCCATGGATTTTAACAAGGCAAGCCTGCAATCATGCACATTATCTTCCCAGAGGAACTTTATATAATATTGGTCAAAAGGAGAAGATTCTGAATACCAGTACAAAATAAAGCTGACAGATTTTCAAATGCAGCAGAATTTACATTAATGTACAATGCCTGTAAAAGAAACAATTTCTATTTACACCTGAAAATACTGCATAGCAAAAATTTACTTTAAAACATTTGCTATCTCCTCTTTAAATAGGAAAAAAAAAGAGGAGAATAGAAGATTCATTTTGATAAACATCAATAAAATGTAAAAGCTGTGTTTACTGAATGTTGTGGGGTTAAGTTAAACTGGACTTGCCAGACGTTTTCACTCTTCAGGCAACAAAAGTTTGGATAGAAATGTAGGCATAGAGGAGGCTTTAAAAATGTTAAAATGTTAGCTATTGTTGATGCAAAATTTAATTTGGTTGTGTTGTAAGAGCAAATATTGTAATTCGGCTTTCAACACCAGTTTAGTGACTAACACATGCCTGATTTCAAATGGTGTTTAATACGTGGAGCTCGTAGTTGAGAGATTAAAGAATGTTGATTAAAGCTTGGCATGTCTTAAGTTTATCACCATCAAACTCTAAAGAAGCCTTGGCTTCTTAGAAAAAAAATGGCAGGGTGGGGGTGGGGTGATGGTGTTTTCTTTGACTGTCCATGCTATGGAAATACATAAGACAGGAATGCAAGAAAAAGGGTCAAAAGCATCTGCAAAACATACATGCCAGAGAGCTGAGCTTGGCTTGTTGGCTTGGCTTACCCTGTGCACTATAAGTATTTGAAAGCAAAACCAACTACTAAATAGTTACATTGCATCCAGCTATAGTGTTGTGGCTCTGATATTCTGCTGAAGAAAGCAGCAAGTGTTGAAAATGGAAGACATATCTGCATTAAAGTGACAACCTACCACAGGATTTTTTTAAGGTCCATAGTTGAAGAAGCAAAGAGAATTGTTATAAAGAACAGCAAGTGGAAGAGGACTAGATGTCAATTAATCTAATCCATTTAAACAAAATTGTGTTATGAATCTCTGTTTGCTGTAACTCAGATATGCTTTGTATTTTGAAAAAAAGTAGACTTAGGAAGTTAATGATTTAATTTCTGAATGTGGAATCCCAGTTTTTACAAACAGTTGGTGGAACAAAGCATATCATGCTGAGAGCTGGTCATAAAGACAGTTCTTTAATATTGTAAGACTTCCTTCTGTTTCAGTGGTAAGTTCAGAACCCGAGTTTGATCATTTGCATTATGTTTATTCACGCTAATTCTACTAGGATATATTCTGGTTTGTTTTGCTTTTAAAATATGTTTACAACCCACTGTCCCCATACAGTCTCTGTGGTATGAGATTCTTTCTCTGGGGCACCCAGAGCTAATGAGCTGGTTAACCTTAACATATTTTAGTACTCTACTGCTTGCTTGGTTGCTCTAAAATACGGCTGAAAAAAGACAGTTTGGGGTGACAGTATCTATTCCCTTCTGTGCTAGAAGGTGAGAAGTGGTGATCTCCATCTGTTCACTCTCCCTGACAGATGTGCTCTTCCACCTCTTCGTGCCAGCTCAGCACACTGCTGAGAAGTTTGCTACACTGAAGGATCCATTTCCAAGCACAGAAAGGGTTTGTTTGCTTGTACACCTGTGCTCTAAAGGAAGTTTTCCTATTGCTTATGCCAGTTGGATGAGTTGCTGAATTCTTTAGCATACATAAAAATGCAAAGTGCCTGAAATGGGAATCAAATGATAACATTATTAGAATTCCCTCTTGGGGACAGATGAGACAGATGGTTGCATAAGGAGGATGTGCCTGAGTACAGCTTCTGTAGTCTGAATTTGTTTTTTGTTTGTTTCCTTTTCTGTGAAAGCAATGCACATATTAAATATCATACAGAACACAAAGCACATTTGAAAGAAAGAGAGGAGCAGAGTGGAACATGAATTTTTAAACTTCTGTCTACTGAGAGTCATGCACAAGCATTGGGAAGCATCATCTTAGGCCTCTGGAATCTATACTCTGCAACTTTCCTCAGCCAGAAAACCCAATAAAAACAAGTCATGTGAATAGGAAGATGCCATTTATGGATCAAGTGGATTTTAGTTTCCCATTCAATCAAGTGAAATTAGACATATCATTACCTATTTAAATTCTTTAAAAATCTTCTTATGACACTTAGAACACAGCACCTTTGTAGGATTTGGCATTTCTCACCCATCTCCTCTCTGACTTGACTTTGGCCGCTCTGCCTTCTAGTGCAGTAGAAAGATAATAGAACCCATAAGTAAGAAGTTTTTGTTTGTTTTTAAGGTAAAAGTTATAGTTTCTCCAAAGAAGAAAAGGAGTAAAATATGTGGAGAGAATTAGGAAAATTAGAGGATTCTTTGTAATAATGTCTTTATTATAAGTGACACATGAGATTTCATGCTTATAAATCTGATAGATCAGAACACCATGATTTTCTCCAGAGCTGCTGACACATAAGAAACCTACAAAGAGATGTCCAGTTGTGAGTCACAGGGCTTCATCCACCTCTCTTTTATTCATAATGTAATAATTGGGATGAAAAAAGTGAAAGGCTCTTTTTATCTAATTTGTAGATGACTTGAAGCTAGAAAAGAGAATGAATAGTTGCATGCAGAATGAGTTCTAAAAAACAGAAGGACAAGTGGAAGCCTGTGCTTAATCCTTAAAAGTTCTTAATACATCTGTGGTTCCTTTTCTTTGAAGAGCTTCAAAACAGAAATGACTTATTCATGAATTTAATAAACACAGGTTTGAAATGTAGCTGGAGAAGAGTTTGAAATGAGTGTAAGGGAGTACAGGGTGAGAGAGTCTTTTATGACTCATTCATAGAAGCATTTGAAAGTGTGAAAAGGTAATCATTCTCTGTTCCCTTCTACCTAAGGAACAAGGCTTAATACTCCCCATCTCTTTCTACCATGATTCTTTTCAGATTCGTATTTCCAATAATTTCCTTATTCCATCCTTTGATTTAATTCCAGCCTTGAAGCCAGAAGTATCTAAAATATAAACTGCACTCTTTCTACTTCTAATATTACTTTTTTCTCTTAGCAAGATCTAACTACTTGCTAGAGAGGAATTAGATGTGTTGCTCTAAAAATGGAAAGGCTGAACTTCTTTGCTACAAATAGAGTCCTATAATAAAATAATTTATAAATATGTGTTTTTAACACTATTCAACTTAAAAGATAAGTTTTTATTAATAAACTTATTGTGAAGTGTGCAAATCAGGTTCACTAAGTCTGAAGCTTCTTTTTTTTTTTGGTAACTGTGCCTTCAATCATTATCAATTTATGGGATTTTTGAATTAAGATAAACTGGAGAATAGACATTTGGTTTATTTTAATATTTCAGATGACTAGTTCTTGGAAACCAACTGATATTTATTTAGCTGCTTCCTCAGATCAAGGACTTTATACTTTCTTACTCATGTAACAAGATGCTTAAACATGCTGAATTGTAATCTATGAGGAAGAAAACAGGGCCATTGTTGATTGTTCAAGGAAGGGTAAAAATTCAAATTTCAAATACACTGAATTAATGGAAATGAGAGACTGCATTCATTTACCATGGCTGTATAGTCCTGTACTCAATGGAAGCCCTCATTTGCAAAAACTGCAGAATTGTTTACTGGACATAAAGTAAGAATTTGAGAAGAAATTTAGAGCTTTTTATGAATATAAATCTTAATTCTCTTTTCCCTTTCCTTTCTAAATTATGTTAATGTAATACAATAAAAAATCAGGATATATTTCAGAATTTACCTGATAAGATTGTTGTGGAGTTAAAAGGGTGTTTCCCATAACATATGGGTTTGCACAACATTTCATATACCATACTAAGTTTTAGAAGAGGTACAAAGTTTATATATCCCCAAATTGAATATGTCATCAACAGTGAACAGTGTGGCTTATCTGTGTAATAAAATACGGCTTTCAATGAAAAGAAACACACTACTTAAAATGCAAAGTGGATGAGTCTCCACAAGAAGCTAAGTGAAAGAGGCCAGAAACAAAAGCGTATGTACTATACGATTTCATTTAAATTAATTTCTAAAGCGTGGCAATATTCATCCATAGATTCAGAAAGCAGATCTGTGTTTGTCTTAGGCTGGGGATGGGCGATGAACAGTGAATGAGAAGAATTTTTTTGGTAATGTAGGTGTTCTGAACTTGACTATTTGGTGGTTACAGAGATGTGTAAATGTGTTCAAACACATGCAACTGTATACTCAAAATTGGTGCAGTTTATTCTGTGAAAATTATGCTTCAATTGGCTTTAAAAAACAAAAGCAAACAAAAGAGCCTATATACATGGATTTCTGCTCTAATGGTATACCATAAAAAAATATTTGGGCACCGTTTCTTTAACTTGTTGAAAGTCTCTGCTTCCCAACTACTGAAGTATCTACAGTCCACAGCTCAACAAGAGCTGAAAATAGAGGTTGTGTTGAAGAAAAGCGAAGTGACATTTATTGAGCTCTGCATAAGGAGCTTTCCATACATGTATATATGGAGTTCTGTGTTTGAGAAATTCTCTTAGAGAAGAGATCTGTTATTAAAACACTTCCAGATAAGCCATGTGATGTGGGCATCTCATACGCAAGATGAATATGGCAAGATTGTTCTACATGAGACAGAAGGAACTTGATAGGAAGCCAGTTGGAAGACTGAATTAGACAGAGTGATTGGAGTATGTCTACAGCTAAGTAGACTTCACATCACTAAGCCTACAGCAGAGCTTTCACATGCCTGTGGCAGAATTGGTACCTTAGTACAGAGTGACCCAAAATAGAAGAGGTGCTAGGAAAGGTACAGGAGTCAGATTAGAAGCACCCATTCAGTGTAAACCAGCA